ACACCAGGGACAATCACACGCAATGGATAGCCATGATCCCTGTTAAGGGTCTTTGACATGATCAAAGAATATGAACCCAACATGAGCTTATATGAATATCATGTGCCAAAACCTGAATAGCATAACGTTAGGAAAGACGAGCAAAACATCCACTTTGCTAAACTTACGTCTCCATTCATCTCATAAGCAAGTAAAACATCTGCTTCTGGGTTTGTGGCTTGAATTAGAGGGATTGAAGCCTTGTAGGGGCCTCCATTTTCCTCCTACAATTTAAGGTCATTACTACAGCAAACAGAATGAGCATACAACAGAAAAGTCTCAGATGAAAAGTAAATAACCATGTCCGCACCTTACACTTATCAACGCTTACAAATTCGACATGTTTTCCACCTGATTTTGTGGCACCTGTCAACTTGGGTATTCCAACGAGTTCAAGAACATCAGCCAGTTTTGCACCACCCCAGACAGCTGTAATAATTTGAAAGAGTTATACCAAAAGCATATACTTTAGCTTGGTTATCTCTGACACTATATCATAGAAAAATATATGAGTTGTTATCGCTGAAGTTTATGATACTTCGTACTCAACGAGAGAGATTGAAGCTGAAATTTATACACACAAAAAAGAGCAACAAACCATTTCCTATAGCAGAAACATCCCAACCTACTCCCTTGACAGTCCGGGTTTTGCTCATAGCAGTCCTTCTATTACCTGCACACTGTGTAGCCAATATATACACCAATCAAACCCCATCACACCATCACATTCGATTCGAATAACAGCATAATTGCTCCAAATCCAAATGCACAAGCATGCACAACGTACCTGTAACGTGGCAGTCACAAGATACTTGGGAAGCGCCCTGCAAAATTCAATTTCTTTGTAACAAGCAAATACTGATAGGAAACCACATGTACGGGATTATATGTATCATTCCAAAGTGCCAAGAACTCACCTGATATCTTTCATAAAGAGCTGTTTGGGATTTTCTATTAATCCGGTGAAGGAAACTGAGTAACTGCTTGGCAAACAGGTTGCAGAATGAGTTAGAATCACTGTTCTAAAAATCCCCGCCTAGGCCCTAAGCGGCTGGCCACCGTCCCGATTTGAGGGGTTGTTTGGTGGCTACGATTGGATTGAATATGATAACTCATAAGGTGAATGAAGAAACTTATCCCTTCTAATCCTAACACGGGATTGGAAGGGATAAGTTTCCTAGGCGAGTAATCCGTTTCTTCCTTCAACATAGTTTAAGTACAGTACGTTATCCAATCCAATCCTAGGCACCAAACAAGGTCGAAAGATATGAGATTGTGAAGGACCTGTGGATGTCGTCGATGACGGGAATAGGACCGTGATTTCGCTTGTAGAAGAAGTCGACGGGAGTGACATACGACGAAGCCAGAGCGGAACGCGGCGGCTCCGCATTGAAAGGTTCCTGCAACTCATTTTTCCACTGATGTTTTGAGTTTTCCGATCAATTAATTTTCGTAAAAAATCAAGGAAGTGGAATTAAACTGGCCTTGGAATTGATTTGGAGGCTGGGATGTCGAGGTGGCTCCAGCGAGTAATCCGACGGCCCTCGAACGCCAGGCATTCTTCTTCTTCTTCAATCTTTTGCTTACAGAGGAGAGGGAGACGGACAGAGAAAATTCTGAATATGATTCCACTGAGCTTCTTGGGAATGGTGACGTTGTTGCCGAGGGAATAGGATTCTCCCCTCCTTTTTTTTCACGAGATTTTTTTAGTGTCACCGGACACGAGGTGATAAATCAGTTATTACTATAGTATATTAAAAAGTTAATAACTAAAAATATAAAAAGTTTTACAACTTATATTAAAACACTTAGTGTACTACTCATATTCTCGTCACAATAAAAAATTTCTCCCTATTCACATCTCCTCGCTTTTTTGTATTATTTTCTTAATAAAAAAAATTAATATAAAATATTAACGTGATTAAACCGTAACCATTTAAATAGAAGAAAAGAAAAATAAAAAGATATTAGGAGTGGAGATTATCCTCCTCCTCCGTTGTTGAGAGTGAGTGAGAGTGAGTGAGAGTGAGAGAGAGAGAGAGAGAGAGAGAGAGAGAGCACTTGTTTGGACTTGGTGGCGTTTGCTGTGTTTGGGCCCGGAGGTCCAAAATTGGACGTGTAAAACAAGGTCCAAAACGGGTTTTTTATTATCCACTTGACGCGGACCCGCCTCTAAAACCGTTGGCGCCTTTTGTTTCCCAAAAGCAATATTTGTTGGGTGAACTTAAATCTAAAACTACAGAGTTCTGATGGTGAACCAAAAAATTAAGAAAATTATTATTATACCCTTTCAATCATAATAAAAAAATAATAATTAAAAAAGGGGTCATTAAAGTAATTTAACACAAATAGGTTTTTGTTATTTTTTTTCTTCTAAACTTCACAGCCATATCATCCCATCAATACCGTAAACTCACTCTCTCTCACAAATTTGCACCCCATGTCTACTTTTCTTTCCACTTTTTCAAACTTCTCCGATCCACTAATTTTTATTCCATAATTTGACATTAATTAAGCTTTATTCTTTACTTTAAATCACACAGTGTGTGTGTACTGCATCTGGTGTTAATAAAGAGAAGGAATTAATTTGATTAAAAGGGGCGATCCCACCATTTTTGTATGTGTTAGAAATCTTCGGAATATCCTAAATTAATTTTAGGAAACATGTGGTGCGACAAGAATGACTCGAGTTTTGGATTATAATGAATATTTCAAAAATTCTCAAGATCGATTTGAAATCGTGGATTATAACTCATGTTTTCAAATCGATTTTGAGAATGTTTACAAGATTCATTATCAAAATTTGAATCATTCTCGTCATACCACTTGTTTCCTAAAATTAAGTTAGGACATTTTGGCTTATAGTGAATATAGTAAAAATTCTCAAAATAGATTTGAAAACGTGAGTTATAACTCATAGTTTTTGTGAAAAAAAAAAGTTTTAGAAAATATCTTGCATGCAAGCAAAGAGTAATGTTAAAAATTGGTGATTGATGGGTTGACCTGTTAACCACGAGACCGTTTATCACCCACCCGAATACTAATTTTAACGGATCGGGTCGGGTGAAAAATGCCGGGTCTAATGTTGCAAGACATTTGGATGTACCCCTACCATGTTTTAGTTTCCAAAACTATTTTTTATTGATTTTTAAAGTTGGAAAAATGGGAAAATTAATATAACTAATAGTGGGCCCCCAAAAATTTTATGTGGGTCAAAAATCTTTGAAATGTCCTAAATTAATTTTAGGAAACATGTTGTGGGACAAGAATGGTTCGAATTTAAGTTCATAATTAAATTTGAAAAAAAAAAAATCCTCAAATTGATTTGAAAACGTGAGTTATAACTCACAGTTTTAATGAAAAAAATTTAAAAGTTTTAATTTTAGAAAATATTTTGCGCATGAGCTTAGGAAAATGTTGCAAAACCTTTAGATATGATCCTACCATTTATTAGGTCACAACAATATTTTTAAAGTAAAAAAAATAGAAAAAATAATATAAACTAAAATTAGGCCCCGAAATATTTTCTTTATGTGTCAAAAATCTTTGGAATGTCCATTATTAATTTTGGTAAACAAGTGGTGCAACATAAATGACTCGAATCTTGGCTTATAATTAATCTTTCAAAAATTCTACAACCTGGCTTGAAAACGCGAGTTATAAATCATAGTTTTTATGAAGAGAAAAAATGAAATCTTTAGTTTTAGGAAATATTATTCGCGGGAGCTTAGGAAAATGTTGCAAGACCTTTGGATGTGATCCTACTATTTATTAGGTCCCAAAACTATTTTAAACTACTAAAACTAAAAATAGAAAAAATCATATAAACTACAATTGGGCCCCCAAATTTTTTTTAATATGTTGAAAATATTCGGAAAGTCCTAAATTAATTTTAGTAAACATATGGTGCGACTCGAATGACTTGAGTTTAGGTTTATTATTAATCTTGCAAAAATTATACAAATCGATTATAAAACTTGGGTTATAACTCACAGTTTTTGTGAATTTTTTTTATATTTTTAGTTTTAGGAAATATTTTTCGTGAGAGCTTAGGAAAATGTCGCAAGACCTTTTAGATGTAATCCTACCATTTATTTGGTCCCAAAACTATTTTTTTATTAATTTTTAAAGTTGAAAAAAAATTAATATAAACAAATAATGAGCCCCTAAATATTTTTTTTAGAATATCCCAAATTAATTTTAAGAAATATGTGGTGCGACGAGAACAATTTGAAATTTTAGCTTATAATTAATCTTGCAAAAATTCCCAAAACCGATCCAAGTTCAATTTTAATGCCAAAACGCTTTGAAGAAACAACCTTAGGCATGGAAATGTGTATGATTTCAAGTTTTCAGCATCCAGCTGCTTATTAGCTATCAAAATACAAGTCGATCAAAGTCGATTATTTAGTGGGTATTATTATTCATAGTATTAAACGGCATAGGTTCATCATTCATCTTCCATGTTAAAGTTAAACCCCAAGCTTCCGAGACGCAGGCTGTTGTTGAATAGGTGCCTCCTCGTCGCACAGAACAGGAGTCGGCGGTGTTCCCATCAGAGGAATTCTGCCATCCGGAGCCGAGGCAGAACGCGGTGGCGGCTTAGGAGGGACGACGTGCGATGGTTGATGAGCTGAAGCACAATCAAGAGGAATGAGGGCGTTCAGAAAGAGAAGGAAAACTAGAGCAGAGTAGAATGCTGGAAAGTGGGAAATGGTGGAAGCCATGCTTGCTAAGGAAACTAACGGGAAATTTGTGTGTGTGTTTTAGTTAACTGAAAGGGCAAGGTATTTATAGGGAAGAAGCTAACTTCATGCAAATCATGCCCCCGAAATTTCGGCTTGAAACAGTGCTAGCAACAACAAACTTTTCGAACACTCACTCTTTTCTTGTTTTCCCCCTTCTATGCTTCAACACAAAAGTTTCAGTACATAAAAATGTTAGGAGCACATCTCGTAACGGTCAAAACTGCAGCAGGTTCGACAGAGCGTGCTGAACAGGCATGTCAAGTAATTCTACGAGTAAAAATTTTTGATACAACAAAGAAAGGAGTAGATGATGTATATACAGTTTATTTAACCGAAACAAGAAGAATCAGCGAGCCTGACTCCGTCCAGTAATTACCAAATTAAAAGTTTCTGATTTATAAACAACCTAACTGTATGACTTGAGAACCTATATGTATATGACTTTTGCACAAGATGGACAGGCGAAAGTACTCAGCTTACGAGTTACTACTCGTGCATCTTCGGTCTCTAGAATTTAGTTGCAGCAAGACTTTTAAAGCAGATGAAGTCTTAGCACATCCCTGAGTTCTTTGCCATGAGAAGCACACAGAGGGCTACAAAAATGAAACGGAAAGGAGAAACTTAACATATATAACAAACAAAGACGTCTAACAAAACGAAAGTAGAACACAACATGCATGCCAAAGTTGATTGGTCGTGTCCTAAATTTTTCCCCTTTTGGACGTGTCCTAAATTCCCCGTGAGACTATATATTCGAAAGACAAGTACAGTGGAAATGAAACAGAGAAAAGAAGCGACACCTTTTCACGGTACTATGGATTTTGACTTTATCTTTCCAGGTGTTGTTAATCCCTTCTTTGCACCAGCGACCCGTGTTGCCTGGTTCAGAAGGGTTTTGTAATCTTGACTTCTTGACCATTCATCAATTTCACGAGCACGTAGAACCGGCAGAGGATGTGAAAGTTGCCTCGTTTGAGCATTTCTGGACAGCATGAGAGCATGAGAGCATGAGTTAAAACAGGCAAATCCAACATGTACCTAACCTAACAAAGGGTGATAAACGTATGCTGTCACTTACCTTATATACCACCCCACAGGGTTTGAAGAAGCTTTGTCGTAGGAGCGAGCTTGTTCCAAAAATGCATCCACATTTAGTTGATCAGCGAGAGATGGGCAGCCCCCAGCTAATTTCATTAGAACAGAGACGACCACCTCTTGTGGGCACATCAAAATGGATATCAGGTATCAAGATAACCAATATGAAACAACTAGTTTATTCGAAAACATGTAGCTTCCAGAGGTTGTATACCTTTGGGTCTTGTGCAACAAGAAGAGCTGCACGATCACAAGTTAGCTCTGCTGCTCGAAGCCAACGAAATAACTGTTCTTCTAACCTCTGAGCAATCATCCCACCAAGCCCTATGAATAACACAAGTATTCAAACATATCAAACACAATGAATGAATGAAACGTAACACAAGTAACCGAAAAACGTTAACCAAGGATATTAGTATCAAACCAGGTATTGTATAAGCTCCGAGGGTAAGAATATTTGCAAATGTAAGCCACACACCATGGTCGCATTTCAGATGACCCAACTCATGAGCCAAAACAGCCTAATTTCAAGTTAAACAGCAGAAGTTAACTGAGAACCAAGAAATGATAAGGGTAACACTTTAAAACACAAAGTAAACAATTAAAATCCAAGAGATAACTTATCACCTGCAGCTCTTCTCGTGTCAAAAGCTCCACGAGGCTAGTATGAACAACAACAAACGGCTTTTTACCACTTATTGCTAAAGTATACGCATTTGGTACAGGACTTTGACGAACGTATAAATCAGGAGCATCTATGTTGAGAATCTCCGCGGCCTCCACCATCAACTGATGTAGACCAGAAAGCTGATAAAAAGAAAGGAAATTCATAAGCTGATGACATTAACTTTAATGCAGAACCTGGACTTGCAAAAGAAGAACAAGTTTTCTGCTTATATTTTCCGCAACTGGACAACCTGATCTTTCGAAACAAGAAGGGACGTTCCGATGTTCTCAAGAAGCATGACTTGCTCTGCAACAGATCCTGCAATGCTCATAAAATAATATATGCACAAATTAGTAAACACACCATTTTACACAAGTTTAATCCTACCCAAATTGGATGAATATTACCTAGCAGAATCTTTCCAAACTCATTCAATCCCGGAATCGCTCTCAAAATCAGCGTGTTCTGCAGAAAAAGTTGATAAATTTACACTCAGATGCTAATCATAATATAATTAACCACCAAAAACAAATCTTTTGTGCATAGCTTGCGTCCTTTCTTTTAATCTGAAGATACAAATGCAAGTATAAAAATGAACATACAATATACATGCATGTTTTTGACATCTTCTGAAAGAGAGTGTGTTTTTGCACAACCAAAAGCACTTTTGACCACGATTGGATGATAACTTAGGATTCGTTTGGATGTGCTTTTAAAATGACTGAAACCGCTTTTGGTGAAAATGTTTTTGACACCAATTCTTAGTAAAAAATTAAGTAGATCCTGGAAAAGCACTTTAAGTGCTTTCTGTAAGAAGCATATATCTGATGCTTCTTTCAAAAAGTACTTAAAGTGCTTTTGGAACTCAAAATCAATTTACCCAAAAACGCTTTCAGACATTTTAAAAGCAGCCCCTTAAAAGAGCATTAGTTCGTAGAAGCACTTTCGAGAAAAGAACCTCAAACACAATACTGATTGGAGAAGCACTTGCAACGTTATGCTTCTTCAAAAAGAACTCCCAAGTGCTTTTCCAGAAAGCACTTAAATTTTGAATGAAATTTCTACATGTTCATAGTAAAAAAGCACTTTCCAGTAAAATCGCACCTGTTTATCCAGAGGGTGCCGAAAATCATCGGCATCGAGGTTGCTAAACACAACGGAGGCAGCTTTGCACACAGGACCTCTAATTCCAACTCTCCGGTACTTCTTGACGGCGGCGAATTCGACGGTGGGCGAACCGAACCGCAAATGATCCGAAGCCACGGAGCTAAAACTAAGAGAACTAGGGTTCTGCGTCAGGCAGAGGGAAGAGATCCAGGGCGCGGCGGCGGAAGCCATGGAAGCGCAGAGACGGAGCCTCAGGAAAGCAACTGCGGAGGAGAATATTAAAATCTAAACTCCATGTTTGCTGATTAGGGAGGTCTAATTGGAGGGATTGGGCATGCGTTGTACAGACCTCCACCGATTGTACGATTGTGTCCACAGCCGTTCTTATGGTGGTCCTTCGGCGCCATTTCGCTTTCGTTGACCGGTGTTCGTGATTTTTTATCCCGGGTAGGGTCAAAGACGGTAAAAAGTCACTAAAAAAGGGGTAGAAAACCAGGCCGAAAAAGAAGAAGAGGGATGATTAACCCACCCCACTGTTTTATATTTCTCCAACCATCTTTTAATAAAAAAATTTAGGGGTGTTTCAATATAGGTGCCTCAATTTTGAAATTCTTAGATTTAACATCCATAGTTTTTAGACTTTTGATCAAACATTCTTATCTAATTTTTAATAACAAAAATTACATATATTTGGTTTACCAATAAATGACAAATTAATATCACCTAAATCCTAAAATCTAGGAGATATACTATCCCATAATTCATTTCAAACGACACTTTTCATTACTCAAATAAAAAATATCATTAAAATTCTAAAAATACAACTAACATCCTATTAAACATAACGTACCAATTATGGACATGATATATGAATGCACATATGTATTAAACATAACGTATCAATAACTTGGCACATATTTGGTACATTATATAATCTTAGTTTTGGTACGTATTAATATTTTGGTACATTATAGATTACTAATTTTGGTACGTTATGTGATTCTTGTTTTAGTATGTACCATGTTATTGGTACAATGCGTTAGCCTAACTTTGGTACGTACAATCTAGTGGTACGTTATGACCCTTAAAAAAGAGAGAATTTTTCAAATTAAAACTTTGTACTGAAAATTAATTATATCAAATTCTTAACAATTAATTATTGGGATAATGACTTAATCATAATTTTCAAACTTATTTTCTTTCCACGAATTTAGGGATTTTAGATCTGATTAGTTTCAATATAAATAACTCCTATTTTCATTTTTTTTCTTTAAAATTTACTCAAAATGATGAGTTGGAAATTAAAAAATGACATGAATAAAGATGGAAGCACCTTAATCAAAATACAAAGCGTTTTAATAAACAGTTGAAAACCCACAAATGTTTAATTTATAAGATGTAGAATTGGAGCGCTTTTATCTAATTAATCCAAAAATTTAATACCAAATTTCCTCTTTTGTAAAATGACATCCAAGACCAAAGAAAAGAAAAATCCCTACTCTGTAGGTTGATAGGTTCGTTCTTCTCCATCTTCTAGAACAACCCACATCTCTAAATCTTTAAAAAATCAAGTCCCCAGTACCTTTGGCCATTTTAATTTGATATGTTTGTTTTTGTTGTCAGTACCAACAAACAGCCTTGAAAACTGGGATAAAGGCTTGTTTGTCCACAATCCACATATGGATTGTTGTGGCAGGCGCAAATAAAGTGGAACACGGTGTTCTCGAGGCGGGTGGCATGCTGGAAGATGGAGAAGACGTCGAAAATTATGTAAAATATATTGTATAGATGCGATTCTCGTTGTACTTCTTGATCAATTGAATTGTGTCTTTGTAGATTTTGTTTTACTCAATCAAAATCAAAATAAAAAGAATTTCAATATAAAGTTATTTTAGGAATAATCATTGATGGGAATATAATATTTCAAGTTTTTAACTTTTTGTGATGGGTGAGATTATAATCGAGAAATAAGACACTAGAGTGGGTCTAGTAGTATTCAAGAAGAAATAAATTGTGATCAGAGCCCAGCCCAATATAATTCGATAAGAAAGGGCCCATGGGCCCAATATTAAACCTGCACCACAGTTTGACTGTAGGAGACGAAATATTTGCAGTTTAACCAGTTCTGAGATGTTCGTTCATTCACCATCATCAATAATCCTGATCAATCAATCAATCTACCTTCCTCCTTCAAGTCGCAGAGTGTTCGACGGCCGAGATTTACTTGGTCTCCGATTCCTAAGACCATGTCAGTCCCCTACCCTGAGCTCAGCTAGCTAGGGTTTTTCATGCTTTCGTGGAAAAAACTTTCCCGGGAAAAAATTTAATGAATTAAAATTTTAGCAAATTTTGTGGGTTTTATACGATTTTATTATTTGTGGGTTTTTTTTTAATTTGTATTTTGCAAATTTTGTGTGAAAAAGAACGGATTTTTAGTGTAATTTTCTTCATATTTTGTTGGAAAATTAAGGAGGAAATCTGTGAATCGTCCACCGACGCCGGATGTTGCAGAAAATCAAGAAAAAGAGCCCACTCGTCAAGAGCTTATAAACATCGAGGTGCGGTGTTTTATTTTAATTTAATTAATTGTTATAGTTATTTATTTCTTTTTTGGAACTGGGGGGTTGATTTTACTGTGCTGAGTTAGATTATTCCGGTTTCTGGTTCGAATTTACTGCCTGGTTTTTACAGTTGATTGAGAGCGGGGAAAAGGAGAGGTTAATGGAGCTTCTGAGGGAAAGGCTGATAGAGTGCGGGTGGAAGGATGAAATGAAAGCTCTTTGCAGGTATTTCTGTGATCCATTCATAAATTACTGTATGGAAATTCAGTAAACATCAATGTTTTGTTGTTTGATTAGTAATTTCGAGGTTGATGTGGGTTAGGCGAGTTGACCTGGATAGTGTTCCCGCCCTCTTGCACCCAAGTTCGAATCACCCTCCCCCCAAACCAGTGTAGTTTAGAATATATATCGTCTTGTCATATGAACCTGAAGGTGCGGGACAATTGGAAATCTTTTAAAATGCGCCCTCACTGGATTTGTGATGCATCAAAAGTATGACATTTGTTAGAAATTCAACAAACCCAGTTACAATGTTGGTCAATTTAAGCAACACTCGTAAATTTACCCAGGCTTCGTTGTCATACACTCAGACAAGATTGTTTTGAGGTCATGGTGGTATTTACTCTACAAGGCAATTGATTTTGGCTGATTTCCGCATTCTTCCTTTTGGAGGTTGCGGCATGGTCCTAGGGACTCGATGGTTGTGTAAGCTGAATCTTGTCTTTGGGATTACAGCAACCTCGATATTATAATTGTATGCAAAAGCCAACTGTTCTAGCCTTGATGTCTGCAAATGGAATTGGATGCTAAGATAGCTTCAGTCATGAACTATTTGATAACTCGTACATTGAATCATTCATTACTTTCTATGTTGCAAAATCGTTTCTGTATATATACCATAATGTTTTTCATGCACTCAACCAAGTGTTCACATATCAAGGTTGCTAATTGAGCATCTTTTAATATCTTTTTATCGTTAGGGCGTTTATAAAGAAAAAGGGGAGGAACAATGTTACAGTTGATGATCTTGTACATGTAATGACCCCAAAGGGCAGAGGTAACTCTTTCTTTCATTCATCATATTCTTCTGATTGTCTCAGACTCACAATGGTTTGCATAAAAGGCCTTGTTTGTCTACATAATTTGCTAAAAATATCATCTTCGTGGAAAACTTCCACGTCTTATTTTACCAATTCTCCTATGGCATACTGTGTTTGGTGTGCGTAATGCAAAGGTAGTATTGAGAGTATAATAGATGATGGTGTCTTCATGGGAGCAGGTAGCATGATGGATGGTGTGGGAGTAGTTGGACGTCTCTGTAAAAATGGGCTGGTGGTGTTCGTGAGGGAGTATGGATTGTCTAGATGACGGTGTTTTTGAGCATTTGTAACGAAGTCGGGTGGGTGGTGCAGGTCAGAGTGGTAGTCTCGTATTCTGTAGAATAGGTGGGTTAGGAAGCTACAAGCCCGCAGTTGTGGGTTTTGTCAGAGCCAGGGAAGGTGGTTTTCTGGACCTTGTGGTCATGGTGTGGCTGTTTTCTTGTGATGCTGATCATCAGGGTCATTAAAACCCCTTCACTGTAGCTCGAGCGAGGTTTCTGTTTTGGCATTACTAATACTACACTTATCCTCTGTAGTCAAAATTAATCGGTTCCTTCGTAATGTTATCTTCTCTTAAGTGAGACTGAGCTTCATCTGGGAAAATGAAATGAAACAGACCGTACGTATATTGACAATCAAGGAAAGTAGTCTTGGAATTAAAAGAGATTCAAGTTACCTGGATCTCATTCGACCTTGACATACTTTCATCCAGCTTCATGTGAACCAGATGTTAATCCCCCGTTTGCCAATTAGTACTCACTTCTTTGTATCTTCGAATCAGTTGATCTCACTGTTTAAATTTGCTATATATTTCTTTTTCCATTGTGTTGCTCTAACAGTTGTAAGTTTGTCTCGGCTCTTTTCCACACAGCCTCCGTCCCCGATTCCGTGAAGGCGGAGCTTTTGCAAAGAATTCGTACATTTCTCGTGTCAGCAGCTCTTTGATGCACCGTGTGGTTCCTGATTGTGACAATCGAGGGGTATGATGATGATGGTGGTGGTGATGGATAAGCTTTTTCTGAATGAAGCTCACTAGTGAATAGCCTGGAGGGCGGCGGGAGGCAACTTTTCTTTTCTTTCTTTTTTTTTTCTGGGAGAATTGTAAAATTAATTGATGTTACGCAAAAGCAGCTTAAACTAACATTTATATTTTCTATCAAGTTTCTACATTTATCAAGTTTATCATGGAAAATCCATCCATGGAGATGCTCAAACTTCTAATTTGTTTGATAAACACATAAACTCTAAATTGAGTGTTCAAAAACGAAATTTGGGTGTACAAAAAACCTCTTTAAATTCACAAGAGTATTTTTGACCGTTATATGGTGATTGTAAATTGAGTGTTCAGAAACGAAATTTAGGTTTACAAAAAATCTTTTTACATATGTTCACAAGAATATTTTTGATGGTCGTATGGTGATTGTATTAGATAAATGTAATAAATATTGTAGTCAACTCCTTAATTAATGGTGGATGTTAGAATAAGAAAGAATGAAGATTTGGTATCTCGAAGAAATTTTTTTGGTGATTAATCAATGATTAATGTATCAGTAAAGAAAGTAAAACAATAAAAATCAATCAGAAAGATTTTGTTACCTTTTTTTGTGATCAAAGGAAATCTCAAATCTCTTATATAAACAACCATGACCTAAAGAACCCTAAAACTCCATTTTTCTGCATCGGTTCAAAAAATTACACTAACATGGGTCGAAGCAAATCAAAGTTACCTTTGGAGTTAATTCCGAACGAAAGTTCGCGTAAGGTTACTTTTCGAAAGAGAAGGAACGGATTGTTGAAGAAGGCGGTTGAATTACACACACTTTGTGATGTGAAGGTGTGTACGATCGTTTACGAGAAGAAATCCAAGGGTAAAGTGAGCAGAGCAGCAACGTTCCCTGCGGAATTTAAAGATGTCAAGGAAATAATTGATATGTACAAATCAAATTCATCAAAGGTCAAGAAGGTCCAAAGTTTGGGTGACTTCTATGCCACGCGAACGGTTCAAGTGAAGGAGGAGTTTGGGAAGCTACGCAGCAAGAGCTGTGAAGAGAAGTATCCTGCATGGGAAGATCGTCTCGATGCGTTTTCAGTAGAACAAATGCTCGACCTTTTGAAAAATTTGGAGAACAAAATTGTAGATACTCACAAGATGCATGGCATGATGAAGGAATCAAAGCAAATTGTTGTGCAAGAGACAATACCACCAAAGGTGAGTGCCTTTAATTACCAAATCTTTGTCGAATTTTTGTTTTGTAGTTTTTAGGGCCTCCTTTGGCATCTAGGATTATAATTGATCAGATAACTAACTAAATTTGATGTATGTTGAAGGAGGAAATTGTCGTTAACATTCAAATTTTGTTGAAGGTATGATATATAATTAAGATGGATTAGCCATGAACGAAATTTTTCCGTCATAACAATTTCGTGAAGATTGGACGGGTTTTGGAAGTCGGCATCTGTTTTTTCATTTAGCATGCATGACTTTAGCGAGTTATCAAATCCAATCCAATGCTTAAGACCAAGGTCTAAGCGTTATTAATTAATCAAAGCTGGCAAAACTCGAAATTAACAATAATCTACTTTTTAAAATAATGTGCAGGCCACGTTTAAAAGCAACCGAGAGTATTCTCAGATGCAATCTGCAGGCACATCCTGGGCTAATAACAACAACATTCAGTACATTTGTTCTTCAGCTACTATTTCCAACTCCAACATCAGAACATCTACGTGGGATATTCCTGCGCCATATGGAAATATGGATGGGAACGCAACTTTCTGTAATCCCATGCAGCAGCAGCCATGCATGTACGACTCAATATTTTCAAGTGCTGCATCTCAACAACAAGAGGCAGCAGTCGTTCCAAGTGTTGAAAACCCTAACCCTATTGGCATTGTTCCGTTGAGCGTTTCGTACGATCAGCCAATGCTTTCGCTAACCATGCAGCCGAGTTATCTGGAGTGTCCGATTTCAGCAGTGCTTTTGGTTTGTCATCCGAATACGATCAACAGTTTGGTGCATTTCAATCACAGCACATGTTTTACGACAACGTATTCTTCGACAACATGGCGCATTTCGAATAAAACAACATTTGGAGGGCTCAGGATACTCGATCGATGCATGTTTGAGGGTTTTAAAAGTAGATTAAATATGTAAGCACTACTATATATCGGCTGGATTTGGTGTTCTGGTTATCTCTTATATATGCAAGTGGTTGAATGGATACTAAAATTATGGGTAGTATATATCTTGTTAATATATTTTGCATCTTAGATATGTTAGTGCATATAGAAGGCTAACTTGGCAGCAATTTTTTAAGAGGCATTTTGATATAGGCGCCTCGTTTTTCAATTTCATTGAAGAAAATGTAGGAGATTCTAATTACTCTGTTTTTTAATTCCTTGTTAGTGAACGGAACAAAACTAGGATGACATCTATCGAAGTAGTACAAAAGTTAGCATATACATGATTAACAGACGTTAGATTAGGGTTTAGGGTTCAGGCAATGCTACCGTTACAGTTATTGCGTGCATCCGCTTCACAAACAATTGAGCCGAAAGAAAAACTAATGAAAAATAAAAAAAAACTTTAGTTCTAATAAAAAATGAAAAATAAAAATGTAATGAATAGTACCAAAAAAAGGTAAAAATGTGATTTTTCGTTAAAATGAACGGAAATATCTCGTTAAAACTCCGCCGAAAAGAATCACAAAGGCAAGCAAGCATTGAACTAGAAGAAGCTACATTAGTAAACAACATGGTAGATGCTCTTTATTTTTACCAAAAACCAACACTAGGAACAAGAGATGGGCATCCCAAACTCAAGTTTATGGGTACAAATTAGAGGCACACCATCGACTAAGGACTTGACCTTAAGGAGGTTTTATCATTACATTACACAGCGACAGCGCAGTCGGTTCTCTTTTACATCTTCCGACTGTTTTTCATCGTTATCAAAGCTATCAAGTGTTGTACAACTTAAAACAAGCAACTTCACGAGACGAGATCACTTATTCAGCAGCGCTCACTCACAAGAACACTATGTAACTCCAGACGATAAAGGAAAAAAAAGAAAAAAAACCACCAGACTTAACCCCCCAAGCTTGCGCTCCATGGAAAATCTGTTGAAAGCACACCAGCTGACATGCACCACAAAAACCTACTACATCGACATATTGCTGCCAACATTTAGCTTATGCTGCAGAGCCCGCTTGTTCGCATAGGTCCAATAGCTCCAGGGTCTGCAAAATCATTAAAACATCAAATGAAGTTTATACGATGTAATTACAATTAAACCATTAAAAAACAATGCAGGCGATGACTTAGCCGTCATACCTCAGGAACTGACAGCTCAAGACGGAACTTGGGACCATCATAGTGGTGCAAAACTGGCCTGAAGGCATCTTCTTCCAAAGCCTTGCAGATTTTTCTAACACAGATCCTTACCTAGTAATCAATTATAACAAAGGGAGACGGTGTCCATCAATAAATTGGATAAGTGCAAAAAATCGACAGAAACAGAACTTTCCACTTTATCGTTTCAAATTTACCTGAGCAGGAAACCTAGATTCGCCTTTACACTTCTTGTCTTCCCAAGCAGTTGGATCAATGTTTGAACCACCAAAGCTTGCTGCCTGCACAAAACCAATTGAAAGGAGGAACAATAAGCTAATAATATCACAACAACCTTACTTAAATAAGCTAATATCATAGTCCAATCTGCATACTTTCTATACTGCAAAGAATATTGCAGACAAAAGTTTGACATAAGAATATTACTATATGGTAAGTTTGAGAACAAACCTCGAAAATGCCATGCAGCTGGTGTGTCGTATAATTGTAGAGAAACAGCGGCAGGCCTGGTGTTATTGCCCGAACAGAATCCCTATACCTTGGAGGTAAACCTACCATATACATATAATGATTAATACACATGAGAATTACTTGGGAGTGTCAAAGAAGGAATATAAATACATAATTCAAAAGCATAATCTGCATTTATTGTTATCTCAGTAATTAAGTTGCATGGCTAGAGGAATACATACTAAAATCATAAATCATTTCGTCCGATATATCATAATCCTACTTATAACTTTTAAGAATTCAGATCCCTATGGAAATCCCTAATAAGCACTGGCATAAATTCAAGGACCCTTTACATGAACTAGCATCTCAGTAAAGATTGCAAATGCATCGTGCAGGGAATGCCAGCTAGATGTCAGTCATTTATACCTGGACCTTAAGTTGTAGACTGAAATTTAACTTATAAAAAAAGTTTAAAACGTGAAAACAGATTCTAAAGTGAGCTAAGAATTAGTCAAACTTACCAAATAGTTGTCGCTTCAAATCTTCCTGCATTGTGTCATTGTTACATACAAAGATGTAACCTCCAAGCACCTCATTTCTAGGGAGCGTCTCAGTTGCCGGCAAGGTCTTGAACCTTTTCTCAACTGTATTTGCAGATTCGTTGTTGTTATTGTTGCTGTTGTTGATTTCTTTGTTGCTGTACTTGTTACCAGTCATGTTTCCCACAATGCTTGCATTGTTCTTCTGGTAAACTGCATTCATGTTATAAATACCATTCCTGAAGGAACTTTTGCTCACATTTTCATTTACTTTAGAATCCAAGCTCAGCATGTTAAAGTATTGGCCTTCAAATTTGTTATCTTCCTGGAACCCAAATTTATCCCTTGCCCTTTGTTCAGCTGGGCCCTTTGAAAGATCAAGGTTATTCATACGCTCGCCCTTTACCCTTGTCTGCTCAGCCAATTTTGAAGCAGCCATTAACCATTTGTGATCTTCTGCGACTTTTGACTGCCCTCGGAGCTCATCACCCAATTGCCAAAAGCTGTTCAAGCTCTCCATCTTGCAAACTCTACTCAGATCAACAGATCCTGTAAAACAGTGTTCAAAGAAAAAGAAATTAATAGATGAGTTAGAAAACTTAAAAATGGGGTTGAGAATAGGAAACCAGTTAAACTTAAAATGTTAAAACATATAGCAAATATGTATCATAGGAAAAGCTTATCCAATAAAAAAATTGCACAAAGGCAGTAATAACTATACAAATGCCAAAAGGAACTTTGATTAACAAGCACTAATGGCAGATTCCACAAATTAAGCAAGACCAAAAGAGAACATTCACAATTGGATCGCAGGCATACCAAAACATGAAATCTACTAATTTTTTTTTTTTTTTTTTTTTTGACAAGAAACAAGAATGCTGCATTCAATTAATGCACTTAAATTGAGAAAAGAATTCAACCCACCCCTCCCCAAAACCCAAAAAAGAAATTAAAGAGGATAAGGGAATCAATAAAACAGCTAATCTATTCACAAGAGAGAGTTGTGGCACCATCATATACATGAGCAAGAGAAACAAGCTTGAAAAACTTTGAGAAGTGGATGAAAATAAAGATATACGCGATCAATTGGCAGATAAGATAATAATAACCTTCGCGTTGGAATCAGCACGCTATATTACCATTTATAAATGCAGACTGTTAATCAATAGAAAAAATACAAATCTTAAACAAATTTATTTCAGTGGCTGTTTATCGCAGACACTCAATATTCAAAGTCTAACAAGATAATTTTGAGATATTGCTATCAATATACCGAAAATAACCATATACAAATCTCTGAAGCTGAGTCTGCATAACCACAGAATTGGGAAAGACTGCACACGTTTAAATGAAAATAATTTTATGAAAGGACATTTATGCCTTTAAAATTAGGAAAACAAAGACTTCCCAGTAACTAAGTTTAGAATTTAACCAAATTTTTGCAAGGATGGTTTTAAAAATGGAATGTTAAAATATTAAATCTTAAAATCACATTAAAAAGTTTGAAACTCTAAAATTCATTTAACAATTTGGCTTCCTAAAGTATTACTAATTGGGTTTGCAGAAACACACATCCACTACAAAATCTGGCATGGGAAGCCATTTCTCAGTGTTTTCCAATTTTTTTTTTTTTTTAAATCTCAAAATTTGAAGTATTTGAAAATAAACAGAAGGCTCAAAAAACGAAGCTTTCGAATTTTGCCTCACAGACTTCTCGCGATAGAAAATTAACCTAAAAGACCCAGAAACACCATTTTCCAGCCAACCAAACAAGCAGGGAACAACAATTGCAGCTACAGAGTCAACCAAAATACATAAATATAAATAAAATTATTCCAAATCGTGAAAAAAAAAAAATAAGCTAATCAGTTAACAAAAACCTAAATCCATCCAATCAACATATAAACTCCAAAATCAAAGATCCAGAACGCGCATTTGATATTAAAACAAGAAAAAGAGCAGAGCAAGAGAAATTAAAGAGAACGATATGCAATTAGCGAAATGTAGTCAATAATTACCAACTAAACTGCGATTAAGCAAATAAAGCTTCAATTTTTAGGTTTAAAGAGGAAGCGGAGGGCTCGAGGGCTTTGATTTTGTGGAGTGATGGTGAATTTTCGACTGGTCAGAAGAACCCTAGATTTGGGGATCAGAGGGGAAGGCTTTACCTTTTTTATCTGCCGTGCGATGTGAAATCGGAAGACGCGACAGAAGACAGCACAGCAGCTGGACTTTTAGTGTTGTATTTATGCTGCACTTTCCCGATAATGCCCTCAAGTGTTTGCTGAATTGCATTTGTTGCCAATTGGGGTTTTGAATCTTTTTTTGTGGTCATGAGTCTCACGACGCATGACTCATGAGTGTCACGATCCATGGGATGTATCGGTTACATGGAAAGGTTCACATGATTTTTCATACGATTCATTGTTTATTTAGGAGATTAACCAGTGACTTTGTTACGGTAGTTCATTATTTTGAAGTTCGAAAATATTTATATAGACATTTCAACCTTTTAAGTATCATCGTGTGACTTACCAGCATGAGAAATTGAATAACATGAAGAAAAAAATGTTTGAATTAATTACTTAAATTATCCGAAAACTTATATTTATATATTTTTTTATGATAAAGTTATAAAATTTCAACTATAAGTCGAATGAGGATCCTCTCTGGATCATTTTTGTAAGGTTCTTAGGAATCCTCAAATCATGTCCGTTTATCGTATATTGTAAGGTTATA